CCAAGGGAGAGATTGTTGGGAAATTGCTAATTGTAATTGGCTAAATCCATCCATGAGGTCACAATGTAAGTCTCAACTAGATCTATTGCCATGAGAGTAAAAAGATAAAAATCCAAAGCTAGAAAAAAGAAGTTCAAGCTACAAAGTCACATCATGAAGACTTCCCAAGATCCTTTAAAGCTTATGAAAGATAAAGACCTTAGAAACCTTAAGTTACCCTTATTATTTTTACATTGACTACTTAGGTTTAAATAATTGAATTTAGAATTACTATGTGCATGACTCGTAGGATTTTTACTGAAAATACTTTTGAAACATCAAATGTTGTTCTGAAAATATAGATTGAGAAATGGATCAGACCCTTACTAAAAAACACCCCTTGGTGTTCAATAGGACAAATTTTTACTTATTTTTAGGCTTAAAAATTAGTACAACTCACTCTATGCTCGCTGCCCTATGGCTTGAGCAGTCTCTGAAGACTAAGGAAGGCTGAACTGAAAAATCTGGGGAGACGGCTCCATGACGATTCGAGTGGTAGGTGAATGGCTCGAGCGGTGTCCCCCTGAAGTCCTGGAATGATACATTTTTTTATTCTAGTAACCATCTCCCTCTCATAGCTCGAGCAATCTATCGCAAATCTGAGTTTTCTTGGGTCTAATTACTTTTATATATATAGATATAGAAAATGACAAGTGCATTTGTTACGATAACTAACTAATATCAACATGAGAGGGGATGGGGGAGAACAGGAAATCCGGACAATTTCCATCCAACATGTAGATTTCAATACAATGCAATGCTTTCTTTAACATATTTGCCTCTTCATTATTAGTATGATGGACCCAAGAGATTGTGCAATCAACAAGTTGGACAATGCATGAGTGGATTTATTCAACAAAATTCCCAGTTGCAGATAAATCTGGTACCCTATGCTTTAAGGCCTCAATTACTGATTTTGAGTCACCTTCGAGCACCATTCTGTCATAACCAAGATCCACAGTGAGTTTGATCGCCTCAAGTGCCACCATTGCTTCAATCGCGTCAAGAGACAATTGACCTGTTTGCTCAGAACTGCAATGAAATTTCCAGTGCAATCTCTAATTATCACGCCTATTTTGGAAGCCTTTATTGAACTGAATGTAGCCCCATCGAAATTAGCTTTTAATAAACCCCCTCGGGGGAGCAGACCCACAACACAAATCCAAAAAGCATTGCTGAGTTTGGTCCAGTTGTCTATCTTCTTAGGCTTCCATGAATTGGCTTAGGTAGGAGACTACAAACTTTACAATATGACTTGGGGAATTAATTTCCTGCTCCAGACGGGCTCTGTTTCTATTGTACCAAACCAACCTCCGTAGCAGATAAATTACCATGGCCAAGCAGCATCCAGTCCTAAATTGTTATGGCAGAGCCTGTAGGTAGCTTGAATGTCAAACATTGCTATACCTGCATTGTGAATGGACAGGAAACAAAGATATGAATAGTAGTTTCCTCAGCACCACCACAGAGAAGCAGTAATTTTCCAATGAAATTCTTCTCCTTCGAAGATTGCATTGCGTTGGTAATGTCATGGAAAATCCCCCAACCAAAGAGTTTAACTTTATTCAGAATATTCAAAAGCCCAAATGAATTACCTACCCACTTCCCTTCAGTACTGCTAACCTCTTCCTTGCTTTTTTAGCGCCATTATCATGTGATAAGGACTCTTCATTGTAAACTGTCCCAATATTGTGTAGTGCCACACTTGACGATCACTTGGGAGGTCTTGGCATATAGGTATGGCTAGTATTTCCTCCATCTCAAAGTTCAAGAACATATTCCTAAGGCGATCAAGATTCCAACTTCTGGTTTCTGTGTCGATCAGTGAGCTTATCAGAGTATTTTCATTCATATCTGGAAGTGTACTAATTACTTTAAAGAAAGTTGGCCTAGGGATCCTTCTATCTCCCTTCACTTTAATACTCGATCCATTTCCAATTCTCTAACGTAGCCCTTCATCAACAAATTCTCTAGTGGCAAATATACTTCGCCATGTAAAAGTAGGGTTGGCTCCTAAGTGGGCATCCATGATGAAAGAGGACAGGAATTATTTTGCCTTGTACACTCTTCCAATCAAAGAAGAGGGGTTCTGAAGTAAACGCCAAAATTTCTTAGCAAGGAGGGCTTGATTGAAGATCTCTATATTTTGGAATCCCATACCACCTTTTGATTTTGGTCTGCATAGTCTCTCCCAACAAAACTAATGGATCTTGTTAGTCACCCCAGAATTCCCCCATCAAAACTTAGCCATCATGCTATTTAATTCCGCACAAAGTGTGGTTTGAATTTTAAAACATGACATAGCATACGTTGGGATGGCTTGGGCTGCAGCGTTAATGATGATCTCTTTACCTATTCTTGACAAAATTTTCTCCTGCCACCCTTGCAAATTTTGCCAAACTTTCTCGGATAGAGTCAAAAATTTCTCACTTTGTTCTCCCAACAATGCATGGAAGACCCAAATATTTGTCATGAGTTTCTACCCTCGATACCTGCTGGGTGTTAACTATAATTTCTGCCACATTATTACTAAAAACTATTGTCAACTTTGGAAAGCTAATAATCTTCCCAGAAACGAGTCCACAAGTCTTGAGAGAACCTTTAATTGTGTCACCATTTTCCATCGTGTCTTGCAAATAGAAAACTATCTACAAAGAACAAGTGGGTAAACGATGGCTCCCCCTCTACTTGTAGACATTCCTTGTATACTACCCTTTCTTCCCCTATCCTGAAGAAGTGCCGTACGGGGATAATGGGTCTTCTTGCCGTATACCTCTTTTTGGTAGAAAGAGACCCATTTGTTCTCCTTTGTCTGTGAGGGAATAGGAGACTGAACTTACACATGTCATAATAATGTTAGTATATCTTTTGTCGAAATCCAGCCTGTCCATCATTACTTCTAAGAATCCCTACTCCACCTTGTCATAGGCGTTGCTCATATCCAATTTAAGGGACATATATGCCTTTCCTCCTTGCCTTTTATTCTTTAAATGGTGATTGAGTTCATAAGCAATAAGAACATTATTTGTGATAAGGCGCCCAAGAACGAATGCCCTTTGGAATTCTAAAAATTATGTGTGGCAGGATCTTTTTTAATCTGTTCACTACGACTTTTGCAATTAACTTGTGCACCATGTTAACATAAACTAGTTGGGCAAAATTGAGTCATGTTCACCGGATTTTGGACCTTGTGTTCCAGAACAAGGCGAGTATAGCTAACCTAGGGCAGTAATTATCTAAATTCAGAAAGTCTAACACCACATTTTTAACATCTTCTCCCACAACATTCTAGAATTTTTGAAAGAAACCTACTTCTAAACCATCTGGACCCGGAGCTTTAGATGGAAGACACTGGTTTAGAGCTTTTACAACTTCAGAATGATGGAATTCTCTCAGCAACCCTTCATTCGTCTCGGTAGTAACTTTCGGTTCAACACTACAGAATCTTCATTACGCATTTACGTTGAATCACCAGAATTGAATAACTGCTCAAAATATTCAACTGCCATCATCTCTATTTGTGCCTTATCTGAAACCCACTGTCCTTCTGCTATTAACCCTTTATGTGGGACACTATTTTCTCAAAGCCTCGTTGAACTAGAAAAATGCTAGAGACTTTCTAGAGAGCTTCAAAACAAACCCTAACCTCCCTAGGACCAAAAAGGTCGTAAATTTACAAGATCAATATTGCTTTACACCTTCAAATATTAAAGCAAGGAGAGATCAAGTAGAAACCCACTAAACCCACATCGATGTGTGAAGGAATAGATCTTGGGAGGATTACTTGAAGATCGAAATAGGAGAAATTAGATTGTGGAGCTTGATTCACCCTTTGAAGTTTGTACTCAAGACCTTGCGGTGGTGAATCTGAATGGATGATACAAGGAGGAAAGCATCTAGCCATGGACTTTGTAATCCAATTTTGAGTATAGTGGATTAGATTTATATGGACCAACAGTAGTCCCATAGTTTTTTCCAAAAAGATTTCCACATTAAAATTATTTTGTGTTGTGGTCATTGATCTCTTGCTTTATTTTGCACACACATGAAATTTTGTGCACACACATCATGTTTTTGATAATATGATTATTATATCTTGAATCGTTGGAAGGGCTATTGGAGGGACAAGGATGGTAAATTTGTATTGATGTTTAACATTGTTAAATTGAGCACTTTACATCCACGCATTTATTCAAAGGGTTTATTCATCTGAAAGGGGTTAATTAGACTTAATTTGTTTAATCAATTTATAATTGAAGTTATTAGGCCTAATTGGGCATTTATTCCTGTTTGAAGTGTAAAAAACCTATTCACCTCCCTCTAGATTGTGCATTCTGTAATTTCATGTATATAATCGTGTCAGGTATGATCAAAACACACTTCTCAAACTCCAAGCTTCCAGGTAAACAGAACTGTCAATAATTACAGTTTCTTGCTCTCCAAATCAACCTGTGTAAACACCCATATTTTGTATCTCTTCCTCTTGACGATGAGTTTAGAGAGCCAAGATGATGAGCATGTCATCACAAAGAAGCTAAACTATTGGTAATGTTTTGGTCACAGGGTTAAATAAACTTGCCTTGTTAAATTTAGAGAGCCAAATCTTTCATCATCCTTCTCCTCATTATTTTTAACCAAGAAAAAATTTGAACATAGTCTCAAACATTAGTAAATGTATCAAAAGAGGGCACATTTTCAAAGATGTCTTGGTGGGGAGAGAGAGAGACAGAGAATCAAAAGTCATTGGCTTGTCTGCGAAATCGTACTTAATCCGCTCATCCAAACAAGAAAGTAGGAGGTAAAAGTCACACGTGCTACACATACATGCACAACTCCAGAATTTATCATGGCTCAGAGATCTGGGCATTTCACCAAAAATACATGTTTTTCCTAGAAAATTACTTCCACTTAATATAGACTAAATTTCTTTTAAGTGTAAATCTCAATTTACAGGCTAATAACCTGGCAACAAAAAGCATCATATGAAGCTCAATCCAAAAATGAAAAAGAAAAAAGAAAAGAAAAAATTTTTCAAAGCAATTACTGAGGCATCGAGATAGTGTATGGTACCTTTCATATGCAAAATTTCAACTTTCAATGCACTAGTCCCAATGCCATCCAAATCTTTGTTTTGCTCCAGTTAATCAGAGCTATCATTCATTCAACTATTTACCCATCTGTTGGCACCAACTGGTCAAGAGTCATACAAAAGAGAACCTTTACAAATACTACACAACCTTAAGACTGTTGTCCTCCTTGGATTCAAAGTTCTCTATAGTTGCCTTCTGTGCAGCTCTTCTTTTAGCTTGGATTTGGTGGACGTATTCCGCAACAATGAGATGGAACTTGGGCGAAAGCTTACTTGTAGAAGTGGCATTGAGACCTGCCTTCTTAAGAGCCCGAGCGACATGTTTTTCAGCTTTCTGAAAATGAGGAGCACAAAGGGAAGGAATGGTGGATCTCAATATTGGCTTTCCGCAAAGTATCGGCCCTGTTGGTGAACTGGTAAGAAGTTAAAAAAGGACATGAATAATCAGAAAAAGAAAATACATTCAGCAATATAAATAAAATCGTAAGGCTGAAAATCTAACATTTAATGCATTTCTAATAGCATATATAGATAAAATCTAGTTGGTGAGCCATCTTTAAATATGAAATAGCCCATCTACACTAATACAATCAGCAATGTTGGTGCCCAACACAGATAAAAACAACACAAACTCAGTAAGGCCTGTACATGTGGATACCCACCATGTCTGATACCACATTAAGTAACCAAAATAGGGTCATCCTCCGTGCATAATGAAAGCACTTACAACAGTTGCTAATGTAAATAACTAAAGGCTAGATTATTATAAAACTCTAGAAACAAAGGTAATCTTCAACCTATTTGTCGCTTGCTTTCAATATCTTGGCTCTGTGATTCATGACCTTACACATTAATTAGCATAGAAACACTTTCATACATACAAAAAATCAAAGAGTGACAGCAGTTTTTCAATGTTAATCACTGGACTAAAGACTCAAATCAGGATGACAGACAGAATAATATTCATTGACCAAACTTGTTATTCAGATGCAAAAAGGATACATACTTCTGGGAGCTTGCGTCATGGAACCAATTGTTCGCAAAATGGCTACTGGCTATAATCCCATATACGAGAGGGAGAGACTACAGGGCTATGTAAATTACAGTAGTAATTCAACTTTAACGAAATCCAGTGAATTCAGAAATAAAATCAAGTCATAAATCTCTAGCTCAGACACCAGATCATTATCAACTTACTTTTGAGATTGAGTCTTGTATTATGGAAAATTACAGAAAAGGGCATATGTAACAAAGAGAGGCTACAGGACTGCATATAAATAAATGTTCGGTGTTTTAGAGGAACTTCAGAATCATAAGCCAGGTAAAATATCTCAAACTGATACCCATACAAACTACAAATTTGGATCAACAGTAAAATCCATTTCTCTAATGGTATCCATAAAAAGGACCTAAAGTTATTGTGTAATAGGTAAAAGGCTAGAGAACCAGATATTACAGTGGGAGAACCTGCAATAACTACAAAAACAATACAAGTGTTGATGGAAACATGCTGAAACACTGTGGACGAATTGGAACATTTTTGGTGGAAATCATAAACTAATCTTATTCAAGTGTTGATGGAAAATATCATACGAAAAAGTAGGGCAAAAATTCTCCAAGGAAACTCTAAGGATGGGTTTTGCGAAATAGCCAGGTGAAAGAGGACTAAATGAGCAGACGCAGTTCTAAACCTTTGGGCTTTGATGATAAGTTGGGATGCAACAACGTAAACTCCAGAAACGACATATAAGATCGGTTTTTAGCCAACAAAAATGTTATGTGCCTATTTTTATTCATAATTTCAGCTTTAGTTCTTAGTGTTTATCTAGTTAATGTGTTAGTGGGTAGTTATTTAAGTAATGGGGTCATTGGGTTTGGTAGTAATAGTTATAGTGATTATTGCTGTGTACTTAAGGACCTTATGATTAATGGAAAAGGTAGTTGATAATTGTGATTAACTTTCCAGTGAAGATTTTGGAGGCTGGGCTTTACTCGAAGTAAACCACCAAAAATTTCCACCCCTCGGGAAGCAGATTATCTTCCTCTCAACTCTATTTTTATTTCGTTTTGCAAAATTATAAAAAATGTGAACATAACAATTAATATCAGAGCTGGTGATCTAGTAATGGCAACACAATTGGAGATTTTGAGGTAAATGTGCAATGAATTTCAAAAGCATTCAAGAGATTGATTGAGGAAAATGAATGCATGCAAGAAGCTTCAACAAAATTACGAATATCCCTCGTAATGAAATTTTTAATGCGAGCCAATGCCATCAATCATCTGTCCAACAAGAAAAATGTGTTGTTTATGAGGCATCAAGCAAAAGGATACGTAGCAGTACGTTAAGTGAGAATAGAAGTTTACGTGTTATGAAGTTCAATGCTGCAGTCCAATTGATTTTTAGTGAAAAAAATGATTATTTCGATTATAATTGAGGACATGGAAGTGGTCGACCTCCTCCTTAATTAGTCATCCCAAATTCTGGCAGTGACACATTGACTTGCAATGCCTTTGCTTTTCCTGTCCCTTTATTTGGACCTCCCAATTTTTTTCATCTTTATCCTTTCCTTTGTTAGTTCCCCCTCTATACACCTGCAAAATTTGTAGCAACCTCTGTTTTGTCCTGGGTAATTGTCTAACCTTATTTGATTTAGCTATCGAAAGTTCACAAAGCTGGACCCTCAAGAGAAAGTCGAATTTGATCAAAAACTCGACTTTAATATAGGAGAGCTTTTTTTAAAACTTTGGGGACAAATTTTTAAAAGAGGAATGAAATATTATCTGCTTGTTTTGGAATATAATTTCAGAATAAGTTGTTAAGTGGTTATTTAGTTAAATGTGTTAGTGGTATGACGTAGGTGGGTAGTTTTCCAAGTAGTTACATAAGTAGTGGGGTCATGGGGCTTGGTAGTTATATTTATTACTATTATCACTTTGCATTTAAAGACATTAAAATTAATTGAAAAGGTAGTTGATATTTGTCATTAATTTCCCTCTGAAAATTTTGGACGTTTGTTTCTCCTCAAAGAAAACCGCAGGAGATTTCCACCCCCTCGAAGTGGGTTATCTTCCCATCAACTCAATTTTTATTTTATTTTGCAAAATTCTAAAAAAGGTACACGTACCTGGAAAGAACTTAACGCATAACAAATAAAGGACTTTATCATCATGCTCTTGAACATAGAAAGAGATTCTGTTAATGCACAACAAATAAAGGAAATTTATCATCATAAAACCTGTGCTCTGAATTGCAATGATTCAATTGCCCAATGTTGTTCAAAAAAATGCCTAGAATTTTCAATTGCCCTCTCCATTATCGTACCATTTTGTTACACACAAAATAAAAAGATTCAAAAAAAGTATGCAAGACAAGTTTTGTATGGCAGAGACATACAGCCAGTTCCCCACCAACTGCTCATTCATTCTCAAGAGTCGCTGGACGATTGTCCAATAAGCCCAACACAAATCGAGATTTAATCCTGAGATAATTACTACCTTGTCTCTTAGGGATTTCAAATTTTGCTGAGTCTACAAAATAGATGAAGTCTATGAAGCACGGACACTCTTGAACACGTATCCGATACTCTTTTATCCGTGTTTATAATTAAATGATAAATTTTTAATTCCGAACACATGTCGAACACTTCTTTGGTAACATGTCCGACACTTCTTTAGAACGTGTCTACTACTAAACAATAGACATTTGTTGAAATTTGATTAACAAAGCTTAAAATTTTGAAAACATATAATTACTAATACTAAAAATATTAAAGTTATACTCCAAATATAATAATAAAAACAAAAGATGAATAAAAATTTTAAAAAAGATGAATTGAGAAAGTGAGAACAATTATTTAAATTATATATTAAGTACATTGTCTACAAAAACAAATTGATGATTATTGACTATAATGAGAATGTTTTCGTCTAAAAACTCACACAGATGACTAGACATTAGATTTTCTTATCATAAAATATTGATTTTTTTATGAATTGTATATCATTATCACTATATTTACAATAAATTATATAATGTTATATATAAAATCAAGAATCAAAATTTCATTTCGATACATTTTTTCGGTTACCTAGAAAACGGAAATGTTTCGATATGTTTCGAAAAAGTTTCGACCCGTTTTGAAAACAAAATGGAAAAAAATAAAAATTTAAAAATTATATTTTCAAAACATTGGTCAAAATATACCAAAATATCTTGAAATATCTTGAAACATTCCAAAATAATTGTGCAAATATATTGAACTATAACAAAATATTTTGAAATATAACAAAATATTTTGAAATATTATAGAACACCCCGCAGTATTAGAATTTCGATTCCATCACTGATTCGTTTCGGTCTCCTTGGAAATAAAAACATTTCGGATGTTTCGACTGTTTTGAAACGATATTTTGATCCTTGTATAAAATATAATTTTTTTGTAGCGTGTCCGTATCCTATTTTTTTGAGAAATGTCGTGTCAGCGTGTTCGTGTCGTGTCGTATGATCGTATCCGTGTCCAATGTCCATGTCCATGTCTATGTCCATGTCCATGTCCATGTCCATGTCCATGTCCATGTCCATGTCCATGTCCATGTCCATGTCCATGCTTCTTAGGATGAAGTAGCACTCATATTCTACTAATTGGTGAAGAATCACAAGTTGATTTTGGTCTTCGGATACAGGAGCAATGGAAGCACTAATAACAAAGTTGATCCTAAAGATGCCTAGCCTAAAAACTATGTGTTTCGTAGCACAACCAATGTAGCAATGGAGTTGACAAACATAGTTACCAGAATTCACTAAACCTCCAACAACCCACGATCTGGGTATGTCGATCCCAAACAGGGTGAGTTATTACCAAAATGTACAACTCTAAATTATAATACTAACCCTAAATCAACTCGCTTTGAAACATGCAACACAAATATAAAATACATACTAAATGACTACATGTATATAGATTTATAATTATATATTAATTTTAGACAATAGAAAATCGAGCAAAAATATATGATAGGTAACTTAGTATTTATGGTTGTTCTATGATATATAAAGTTGTATAGTTGTAAAAAAGATCTCAAAAATAGTTCCAAAACGAATTACAACACAAAATACCGTACCAACTAAGCCTACCACAATCGTACAATATACCTTAGAGTGTGTTGTACCACATATCTGAACCCGTACCATGTACCTAAGCGACCCACAAAATAGGTAACAACAAACCTAATACTGCTCAGTTGTTTGGAAGCAGTCATATCCTAGTGTACACATAAGAAATTGGCTATGGAGTCAAATCATTATCCCATAAATGTAAGAAACGGTAAAGGAAACCCAGTGGCTTACTGTATGCAGTCAGTTCAAAAAATCAATTTCCAGGCATGTTAGGATTTTAGTACCCCAAAATACAGTTGGCTTACTTTCATGCTATTATCCCTAACGCCGCAACTACTCCGTTATATCCTCAAACATATGTCTTTATCTACAGTTTCTAATCCCAAAAAAATATAATTTTGTCGACATTATAAATTATAGAAAAAGGCTTAGCCAGCCTTCCTTCTCCATTACCTTGATTCTTGCGTTATAGAATTATTTGAGGGAAATGGTGTTGGTTTCTTCCAGTATAACTCTTCCATGTGGCTTATATGCAATCACCCCCACCATTTGCTAACGAATCCAATTTCAATTTTTTAGAAAAATGAGTTAAGTCCTCTCACTATTTTTGCTAACCACTTCAAACTTACTTTTCACGAAAAATCTGTTAAGCCCATAAAGAGAAAAATTTCAACAATGCTCAGGTGGGAGTTGGGATTTGGGTGCACATGGGAAGATGTTGCAAAGTCCACAGAGCCACCACTAGGCAAGTAAGGCTTACCAAGTCCTCTCTCACTTGCTCCCTCATACATATGTGTGCATGTATGTATATTCCTCAAGCCATATATAACCACGAACTTATATACTAATTCCAAACCAAAGCACAAATACCATTTTTCCTCCTGATTTGTTGACCACACACTCCCCAGATTCCCCTTTTAATTCACAAAATAGAGAACTTCCGAAAATCACTTCCCAAACTACTATTCAAACAACCTCATGCCCAAACTATCACCTGGATACATCACAAAATCAATTCCCATACATATATGCATATTTCTACAGATAAATACCACAAGACCAAATAATAATGTAAACATAAAAGGGGTCAACGAAATTATACTAAAATAACTAAACATAATAACATGAAATATCAAAACCCTAACCTCTTGATTGTGTAATTGCAAGCCTTGTAAAGCTTTTGCTTGGCATCCGAAAGTATGTGCATGTGACAGAACTTGGTCAAAGCCATGGCCTTGGCCTTACACCCATGGACCCCACACTGATTCACAGCATACTCGTTATTATTGCTGTTATTGCCATTCTCTGCCGTTCCTTGTGTGCAATTCTTGTTGTTCTCTCTGTCCTCGTCCTCCTGAAAGGGACTTTTACCGTACTGCCAATAATATTCTCTGTACTTGAGCTTGAGCTCTTCCATTAGAGCCCAGTACTGGTCTCTGTAGATCTTGGCAAGCTGTTTGACTCGGCGAGACCGGCGTTTCAGGACTTCTTCCCGAGTCAAGAACTCGGACCTGGACAAAACTGAGTCTGCTTCCAACCCATCGACCATTACTGCCGCCGAAGAAGACGATGTCACATTTGCCATGTTTGAATCAATGCTGAGTTGAATTTTATTGGTGTTGCTTTGAGGGTTTGAATTTTTATGGTCTGGATGGCTTGTGTTGGTGGAGATAGTAGGTGCGCGGGTGGTGGAAGGTGGTGGACGGATCATTCTTGTCGGGTTTTGACAGCGAAGAACTAGAGACAGAAGAAATGAAGCAGCAGCAAAGGAATAGTCTAGGAGAGTCGGTGGTGGGTTTTGAAATCAAAACTTGAAGGGCGATCCGTAATATTCAAAAAATAACACAACCACCCCTCATGTTTATAAAATAGGAAAATTTTCATTTTGTACGTTGTCAAATTTACACTTTGTATGCTAAAAAATAAAAATGTAACAATTAGGACGAACACCTAACTTTTGTTTATTTGACCGTATTTTTTTTTGACAAGGTTTTAGTAGGGTCTCCATCGTAAATGAACAAGATGAGCACTCATATGAATTGCACATGACAGCTCCGCGTGCTTGTGAACCTGTTGAAACCTTCGGCCTTGACATTTTGGGTGTACTCAGAGAGAAACAAAAAGAAAGAGGCAGCTTTAGTATGTCTCTTCTAGGGCTACGAATTCGAAGAAATAGACGGTGTATATTCTCTAACAACTACATCGGTTGATTTTGTACTAGATCTGGTTGTGATGCTTCATTCAGGGTGCAAAGTGAGGATTTGGCAATCTCTTCAATGTACAAAGTGAGATTTTTCCTATAAAGTAATGGAAATTTTAAAAAATAGGAAAGTCTACGCCACTAAAAAAAAAATTGGGTATCCTACCAAAAGTTTTTTGTTTTAATGATAAGGTTACACCTTTTAAGGTTCAAGTAGTTGAGGTCTCTCAAGCACTTGTAATTTCTCCACTAATAGTTGTAACTTAATATTTAAAAATTGTAATTTAATTTTTGAAAGTTATAACTTTTATGATCGATCGTTGATCATGTCCTTTACAAATTGTAACTTGAATCTCAAAAAATTATAGCTTGGCATTATAAAATTATAATTTTCGGTATGATATCAATGTTGAGTACCGTAGTCTTTCCCTATAAAATAAAAAAACAATCTCTTGACCTCCTTTAACATTTGAAAAATTAAAATCGCGTGTAAATTTTTGGCTATATAAATAGAAATAAAAATTAAAAAAAAATATTTTTCATAATAATAACTAAATTAGGTCACATAGTATTTAAAACACGGCATGAGTATGACTCCTATGTGATTTCAAAAGAAAAGATTTTCTAAACAATTTTGTATTTGGAAAACATATATTTTAATTCTAACATAGGAGGATTAGGATGAAAATGATAATGGAAGCAATCCATGTATGACTCCTAGGTGATTTCAATAGAAAAGATTTTCTAAATAATTTTGTGTTTTGAAAACATAGATTGAGTCATTATCAGACTCCTCTTGAGCAACACCCTTTAGTGTTCAAGAGGACTAGCTTTTGCTTAGCTTTGTGCTTCAAAAACTTCTAGAGGCCAAGCTATGCTCACTAGCCTTGGGTAGATCGGTCTCTTAATGACTTAGGGAATTAGATGGGAAAAGGCCACGGGAAAACAACACAGAGCTCATTTAAGTGGTCCTTCAAGGTGACTCAAGTGGTGCTCATGGTCACTCAAGCGGTGTTCCTCTTGAATAGGATGGAAACATGATTTTAATTCTAGTGCCAACAACCTTATAACCACCCTCCCAGCAATCGAGTGGTCATTTACAGTTAATGGGTTGGCTTGCGAGCCTTACACTTGAGGATGAGGAGAGAGAGGAGTTAGGTATACCTCAGGTAGTTTGCAAGTATGTGAATGTTTTACCACACGAGTTACGGGATTACTTGGTGCATCCCCTATTTATATGACACTACATAGGATGACACCTGCAAAGTTGCAAGAACTCATGGTCCAGTTACAAGAATTGTTGCATTAGACTAAGTACCTCACCTTGGAGTGCTCCAATATTATTTGCCAAGAAGAAAGACAGGATCCTTAGACCATGTATTGACTATTGATAGCTGAATTAGGTACCCACTGCTGAGGATTGATGATCTTTTTTGATCAACTGCAAGGGGCATGGGTCTACTCCAAGATAGATCTGCGCATGAGATATCATCAGTTGAGCAATAAGGAGGCCAACATCTCTAAGACGACGTTTAGGATGCGATACGAGCACTTCGAGTTTACTGTTATGCCCTTCGATTTGATGAATTTGCAAGCAGCATTCATGGATCTTATGCACTGGGTGTTCTAACTCTATCTTGATCAGTTTGTCGTGGGCTTTGTTGACAAATACCCAGGCGACATTCATGGATCATATACGGCATTTAGGGGTATTTTCACAGGTCAATGGGTGATCAATGGGTTAAGAAGGGACCCCTAGATAATGGGGCATCGCATGTACCATATCACATGACATCTACAAATCCATTCTCAAGAAAGGTATACCATAAGCATTGGTATCGATATCTGAGCCCTTTATCTGCGAGGTACAAGTACTTGTGAGCATAAGTACCGATACCTGAGCCCACTGTCCATCGGAGTATTAGTACCTAAGGCATAAGTATTGGTACCTATGCCCACTAGAATCCAAGCAATGGTACTTGTAAGACTGGGTATCAGTAACTATAAGACTGAGTAGTGGTAACTGGGTCATTCGACATTGTGGTACTGGTACCTATGAACCTAGGTACCATACCTGAGCCCATATTTTCTCCAATCCTTCCAATTTTCATCTCATCTTCTTCCAAACTCATACCATCTTCACCTATTCATTCATTTACAACAAAACATTGTCCAAAAGAGTTCATTATATGCCCCCCTTTTTCCAAATTACACTTCCACAACAAATAACATAATTGATTACAAAAATGCAATTTAAGAGCCAGAATCAAGTTCTGTTATCAACAGGGACCCAAGTGAGGACCATCCACCAGCACTTGTTGAATACCTAAAATATGTTCCTATAAAGGGTGAGCCACGCTAAATAGAGTAAGTCTTAAGGAGGCTACAACCCAACTTTGATGGATATGAATGTCACATGCAATTCATCACATAATTCATTCATTCAAGAACATACATTTCATAAATGAATGCTACACTTTTCATGCCATGTCATGAGATGGAACTCACATATGTAATGCAAACCCGAACTCTCCACCAACTCCTATAACATATGCCATGCCGTGAGTATGCATCTGGGCATTCCAAGCCCCTGCCATTGATGTTAGACATATAATGACCATTTTATAAAATCTTTGGTCTTTCTTGAGATGGGTATTAATGGACTTGCACCAACGGGTACCCAATTGATACGACATCTATGGACTTTCACCAATGGCTCTGCGTATTCCTACACACTTTATGGACTCCATACCAATGGAAGCGTGTATTTGAAATTATTGGATCTTGCACTTAAGAGAGAATCTAACCCTTCTTGCTAACCTCGACCCTTGTTTTTAATGCAACCCGTGCGAGTCGGTCAGACCTAGGTCCAACTTTCTTAAGGCCATGCATCAACCCACCAATGATGGTGTTTGATCAAAACCATGCACACACACTCACACTCACGCGAATGCCCACGAATACGATCCTATCCGTGTATATGCAAATGTAATGTACAATTGCAATTACAATATCATGAGCACATTAAGAACATATTCAATCTCCACAACATTCCCAATTTCTCAAATGTCCATTATATCATAAAGCATATAATTACATTTCACAATTTCCATTAAGCATGTTATATTATTTTCATTTCAAATAACACACTTAATCATTCATAGGCATTTCATCAAATACCTATAAGGCACAAATATTGTAATGCCCCAAAAACCCCCTTGGGTGACATTACATTCTAAAAACCATTCACCGCATGAGAGTATTAAGTAAATCCATCACAACGAAAGTTTCATTCATTCACCATTCATATTTTAACAAAATTTGGGCAGAGTCTCCTCTGTTCGGGGAGCTCTACCCAAAACACAACCTGTGCAATTCTACTGTAATGACCACACCGGGTCCATTTAACTACCATAAAATCAATCCATCCAATTTACATGTTATCCCAAAAGAATAGGCCAAGTTATGGTCTTTACATTCCCACAAAAGTACTATAATACACAGCGAAATATATAAAATAAAAACTAGGCTATACAATTCTCCCAAAAGATTATCCAAGTCTATAACAAAAGAAAGGGGGGTCGCTCTAAGCATCCACCTCAGGATCCATGCTCCCTTCTATCGGAGTCTCCAAATGTGTCGGCCCCTTGACTCCCAGCTCCTCGTCAAAGGCAAAATCTGAAAGGTGGGGAAGTAGGGGGGTGAGCACAAGGCTCTGTAGGAGGATCCTTCCAAACCCATTCAAGGTTTTGAAATCAAGTAAAACAGGTAGGTCACGTTTCGCACATACATATAAATGAATTTTGAAGTAAAGTAAGGACATTTTAAAGGAGATCTCAAGTTTGTACAATAATAAGGAGTTGAACGAGAATAAAACCACGTTTAATTGACAAATAATTTCTAACATAATCCACGCCGCCATACACCATTTCCACAAGGTATCGCGGCATCCCATACTACCCGAAACTCTTGGAGAAATAATATTTGGTACAATGAACAAAAATTTCTATTTGGTACCACTCAAGTAGGTTGTCGATTCTCATGAATCTACCCGACGATTCTACCTCGTTCACCCATTTCCACTAACAATCACAGACCAATTTAGGAAGGGCGTGTACCATCTCATACGGCCTTGACGAGATCCTCTCAAGGTGTCTAGTATACTAACCCTTTTCCCCGGTATCCGTGAACAATAGTGGTCATTGTCACCACAGTGATCCACTATGAGCATTAGACAGCCATCTCACCCCCATTGGAATAGACTAACCTCTAACGCTCTACGACAGTTTTCGAAGGTAATCCAAGTCCCTCACAACACCATACACAAGAATGACATACCAACAATATACTCAACCTCATATACAAGCAAATTCATGATGTTTTTCCAAATTTTCACAAGCAAGATACATAATAGAACAATTTCAGAAAATATACCTATTTCGCAAATCATGTAAATGAGACAAGTTTAAACGAAATAAGCATGATATCATCAATACAATCATTTTACTACCCAACACAAAGTTCTAGAATTTTCGAAATCAAGATGATGTGAAGATA